CATTTGGACATCACTTTTGTTGTGATTAAAAATTAACGAATAAGGAATCGACCGAAGAAATCAGGCATAATGATTACATAACTCACTGTTATTTGACTTTTTCTTGTGAATTAGATTAAGGGCCGATACTTTGTAAAATGAACGACAGAAATGAATTTCCTTTTCCAATTCAACGATATTTCCGGAGTGAGACGAAAATGACGATAAATGTGACGAATAAGTGGGTTTTTCCCGTGAATTACAATGCTCTGAAAGTAAAATCTAGTGATGTTATTTTGAAATTGGAATCAACATTTAGAGAGGGTGACCCTTCTTTGATGAAATTAAACTTTCGTTTAAGCAATTTTAAAATGAAAGAAGTGTTATAGGAAAACCTATATCAATACGATGAAAGTTTAATGTGTTTATTATTTTTGTTTATCCTGAATCAAATATATCAGTGTTCATAATCTTAGTTCCTTCAGAGAAGCAGAATGCGACAGTGAAATATCCTTTCAAGTATAATAAAACATGACGCCTATTTTGACATATTTGAAATGACAACCTCGTAGATTTCCATTCCTATTGATCTGCGCGCCAACGATACAACCACCATAGACCCACAGGAAGTCACTGAGATCTCATGAATAATTCAGGAGACTGTTAGAAACGGAATTTTTGACGAACTTAGTTGAGAAGACAGGGTTCCAATAGCCTCTCTTTTATAGCCACTTTTCTACGTACAAGTTAACACAGCCAATCATTGTTGGGCCACTTAAGTCAAACCATGACGTGATCGATCCAGTTCATAATTTAGTTGAACAATCCTAAAGGGGATAAATCTTTTAAGGCAACCTAACATAGAAACTTTCTTTCAAAAAATACACTGGACAGACACTAAACCGTTCAAAAAATCATGTGGAACAAGCCTGACGGAATAGCGTTCACATAAATCAGTTGAAAGGTCAGGTATCAACGTCGTCGGTCACATGACAAACAGGTTGGCCGTCGTTAATCCATGAGTGATTGGACTCAGCCCAAGTATAGGTTAATTTGAGCATTCCTTCCTCCATGATTTGAGTCAAGGTCGCCGCTGGAGGTACATGTAAAAAGCCTCAGGCACATGCATATCTGCTCATCCCGATTATATACAAAGCTCCGAGGCCGCTAGACGTGCGTTGAAAAAATGTAATCAATGAAGAGCTTAACTTTAATAACTGGGGGCACTGCATGGATACTTGGCGCCCATTACCCACGAGATTGTGCTAATTTACAGGCTTCATTCACTTGTAGTCAATCCGTCATTATTGGCTAAACCAAAAGCAAGAAGGGGAGTCCACTTCGGATTCAATACTGCAACTTCTTTTACGTCAGCAAGCACATGAAAGAACACAACAATAATCCAAACATGAATGATGAAGTGGTTGAAATTAAATTATAGGTTTTGAATTGCAACCCAGCAAAATGCCGGTTATGTCACATACGGCAGTAAGTTCCCACCCAAGGCTTTTGAGATATGCATCAATTTATTTCACGAACTTCCATTTCTGTTCGGTTTTGAGAAAGATTACATGGCTTTTACGAGACATTTCCTCCAAAGATGATCATTCCTACGAGTAATTCTGAAGTCCATATCCATTTAGAAAACGGTGCCATAGCCTAAATGGAGCAGTTTAAAGTGTCTGCTACAATTCAAACCCTCAAGTTCACACACCCAGATCTCTTTAAATGGCACACTTATCTTAGGGCATGCAAATCGTGATTTGGCCAACGTAAGTCGTCAGTCAAGGCTAAAATGTTAGCCTTGCCATCTATTCACAAGACGTATTTATAGCCAATAGATTCATGTAGCAACAATGAATTCACTATTATGTGAAATGAATGAACATGAATGCATTTTTTTTTCAAGCAGTTGCCATTGCAATTTTTGCCATTAAGTTGCGTCTGTCCTATATTTGCCCAGATAAATAGGCCTATCTCAGTATTTCCGTACACAATATTAATCAGTCACCTCTACGAAGCATGAGAGTGCGTAAGGTAACACTTAGTAAAAGAATCGGATACGGGACAATGGAGAACTTTGGATGCTTCTTTGATGTGCATATTCATAGTCCACGATAAGGGCGCGTGTAAGGGGAGATAAGCCCTTCGCGCTTAGTGAACACTCCAAAATAGTGGATCTGTGTAGGGCCTAGGCAGTGTAGGCATATGAAACTTTGAAAGACCGATACTTGCGAAAAACAAACAGGAATCTAATCGATGGCGTCCTTGATTGGAAACGTGTACAAAAGTAATGGGAGCTCTTGCTATTGAAAAAAAGTTGACGTAAGCAGTATAGTAGGCCTACATGTTACTTGATTTCAACATACATGTACGTGTCTGGGTGTAGCGGTGCGGAACGGAAAGCTATAAATAGCTACATGGTCAAACAACGGGACAATAACTTGCATGCAGTTGTACAGAACAGGTTTTAATGGCTTCAAAACAATTTCTCATGAAATTATTTAACTGCGTTTTGAACAAAATGGCCTGAACAGAAACGATTTACTATCATTTGACATTCCAAAAAATGTAATTTCTTTTTTACCTTGGATGGAGTGAGATTGTGTGGAGTTCGATGTTCCGCAAATTCGAGAGTATTCCATAAATAGCAACAACTGGCCTGTAGAAGGCCAACAACTCCATGGTTTCAGAATGGCCGTAACATGCATCCGATCTGTACGTGAAAATACCAACTTATTGGGCTCTTACTGGACGCCCTTTTGTAGTGCCCAAGTTGTACGAATATAAAATGCAGGATGTATAAACCATAGTTTACAATGATTCATTATGCGAGCAATTCGCATTGCATATTTATCAAGTACTTCCTTTTTAATATCCTGGATTTCAAACTGGGTTTATTTCCCCCATTTGGCTTCATGTAAATCCCCTCAATGGTTCAACGTAAACTTAGCTGATGAAAACGTAACTCGTGGGGTTTATATCCATCTTGGACGATCACAAGTACTTCCTGTAACTCATTCTTCCCATATTCATCAGGATTCTCAAGGGAATTCTGACTATTTCCCCCAAGATGGAAATGACTGTTCTGCCTTAGGAGGAAAATGTATGGCTTGTTCATTATTTCGCAATAACTAACGATTGAAAATACAGAGCTTGGAGAGCTGCAGGTTTTGTAGCCTTACTCGATAGTCGTTGCGTTCAAGAACGTTTATCAAAATGGATTTTCAATGTGACGTATGTCAACCGTTCTCTGACATTTTGTACTGAACTTTAGTGATTCAAAAAGCAAGGAACTTGGGTTAAAATGTTGCCCTATGAAATATTCCTGTACGATGACTGCTCCATGGGAAGAAAAGGACGAACCAACATGGGTAGGGAATATAATGAGTCCAGTCCAGTCTCAGGTGTGTGTACGCGTCCACGAGAATTAATGGCTTAGTGCGGTGATTTTGTTACTCAACCTCTCAAGGTGCACGCAATCATGTTCCTTTGCGATGTAATAAAGCAAAATTTCTTTAAAAAACCACTGTCCATTTTGTTAATGTCTGCTATATTCCGACCAAAAAGCAGCCAAGGTATGAGGCCGTTTTGTAAATACACATAGAACTTTCTCACATAGCGAACTGTTATGTCAGGTTTCCCTAAAACAAAAATAAACATATACATTATGCTGCATTGCATTTTATTTTCATTAAGGTGGTGGTTGAGGTGGTAACAACTCTACGTATATCATGTTTCATCAGTTGCGGGAGATTTGTGTGACACTTTGCGAATTATTTCTTTCGCCTGTTTACTGACTGTCAGCAATAGTTTACCGACAGGTTTCTTGCCAAAAAAGACGTAGATTGAGGTTTGTACTAAGACTCGCGCCATCTCCATAGTGGGCGTACCGCGATATCGTTCGGCAAGTAGGCCTATGTGCATTACCAACTGTAGTGTTAGGGTGTTGACCTGCAGCTTTACACTTACAAGCGGGGCATGGTACGCCGATCATGTGATTGCAACAAAATGGTATCCCAAGTCATCCTACCAACTGATAGTAACAAGCGTTACAGTATCCAGAGAGAATTTAAGAGACCTCTGTCACTACTAATGATGTCGCACTTTTATACGTGCGTGGTTTCTTATGTGCAGTGGACCGTGGATCCCACTGGCTCCATGGGGAAATGCACTGTGCACGTTCTGTCAACAGTGATGTCTTCATGAAGCTAAAAGAATGGTACAACCCCTTGAATAACTTAGAGGGTTAATCGCTTCGAAGGCCATGTTCAGTCCAGAAAAGCTATAGAATCAATAGCCGCGATGTCGGTTTCACCCAAAATGCCTCGGAATGCGCAATGAAGCTGGTAGATAGCAGGTACTAGCAGACAAAGACATTAAATGTTTGTGTAGAGGGCTCCACTTAATTGATATATAGGGACCATCAAAATGGTAGGTGTACGAGGGTGAGTTATTGGGAAACGCTACTGGTTAAATTCACCAGTTTACGCATCCTAAGCGAAGTGCATTTCACATCCAAATAATCACATTATTATGTAGCTTTCTTAAAATTGCTGCACAAAAAGGTGACAAACCCAGCTACTTTTTCCGAGCAACATTCTGTACATATACTGAACTTGCACCATGCTAACAGTTCTTTATACTTGAACTATACATGCACGGGGGATGCGAAAGAAATCAACACAAAAGACATGGAAATGGATGCGTACCGGTAACGCATTTCACCAAATGGACTCTATGTGTTCAATCCTTGCGCTATTTAGATTTCACATTGCATAAACCTTTAATGTTTTTCCTGATTTCAGCACATCGAATATAATTTCGACGTGGTGAAGCTCCTTTTGCTTCCGTGCATTAGCTGGGTTGAAAGTGTGGTGTAATCTTCCCTTATTGTTTCACTTTTGCCCTATAAAAATAATACCGGTACAATGTGCCACTGTAATCCTGATCTATTGCCTACATAACACACGAAGCATACGGCCAACACACGGAACATTCACGTCGCAAAAGACCACACAGCTGTTTCATATTGACACTTTATTAGAATGTCTTTCTGTGGGAGAAAATGTGGCAATATCGATTGTACACATTCCTGACAGACCCCACGACAAATATGATGGCTACAAATGTTGTAACCAAACGTTACCCTTCGGAAAATTAACAAAGAGGAACCATAGCAATACTTACGCTGCCCTCCATGAGTCTCCACTTCTCAAAAATCCAGTTTTTAAAAATATAATCTGCTTATATTTACAAGAATAAACCTGAAAATAAACCGTGGTGTTCTCTGTTCTGGTCGTGTTTGAGTAATCGTGTAATCTCTCGAGAATTTAACGAGTACTGGATTCACAACTCTGACATTGAGTTTAACCTACTTACATATTTGTGTCATACATAGAAATATCTTTAAGTATCCATAGCTTTAAATCTTGTCAAAACACTTTCTTGAATAAGAGAGCTTATACTCTACAGGGAAATAGTAGGGTATTTCTATTCTAAGGTAGCGGTGGTGCACGGGTATCTTTTAAATGACATTGAAAATAAAGAACCCAATCAAATTGTAAACAAGAAACATACGGCAATGCCTTATAAATGAAACAAAAGTCATGCATTACGAGATCAAGTTTTTTCATGCATTATGAGATCAAGCTTTTTTCAGTTGTTATATTTTTTTAAACAGTCCAATGTGAAGATCTGCATGCCTTCAAATCAATAATAGCCGTTTTGCAGTCGTTATTACAATTAGAATACTTAAAACAAATTGCCCTCGCGGGAAAACGATACACCAAAAGCACTACATTATTTTTTTGAAAAAGGACTTGGCCTAACCGTTTATACCTTTCTTTACAAAAAAGTGACTTTCAAACGATGAGAGAACGCTTAAAAAAATCAAAGAAAATCTTGGAGACAAGCAGAGAAGTTCTCATTGTTTGCCTCGACGGAAATGCTGTGGTGCGGTCATAGCCGATCCAAGAATAGACTTACCGAAAGTAGCTTACCATGTCAAATGTATGTTCGGTAGGCTAGGCACGTGTCCAAGATAGATAGAAGTGAGGCGGGTAAACACATGTATTACCATGTGATATCGTCTGGAGGGTTTCCAACGGCTAGCAAATCAGAAAAACTTTCAATTTATAATTACACTAAAGAAAAAAAAAATGATTGTTTCATTGTTCTCACTTCCGTTTGCGGTTCCAAGGGCTCTAGGGCTACCCTGGATGGTGTTGATCTGTACAACTTCCTTGCAGGAAACTAAGCCTCCCAAAACTCGTTAGAATATGACAAAGCAGATTACCAGGTGAAATTTTCGAAGAGAAAACTATGTTTGGGGCACATCTCGGTTTACCGTAAACGCCACCTGGCGCAAATTACACAGCGGGTGACTTGGGCTTTAATTGCAAACGTGACAGTATTGGAAAGCGGAATTAATGGAAGGGTGCTACACAATACCTACTGGGGTCTACGCGGTACTTCTATTCGGCTTACAAATATGAAACAGGTTTCTTTCAAGGTATATGTAATACAATTTGTTCACGAGTTGGCTCTTTTATTAATTGTGCCTTGTGATATCTAGGATATTCAAGAAATAATACAACTCTAATTTCGTCGTCGTACTTTTCAAAGGACAACAGACACGATTTAGTAAAACAAGATGACATTTGGCTTGACTTACTATCATAACTGCGGGACGCGTGTCTGCACGTCTAGTTCTGACTAAAAGGTCATAGTTTAATATGGCAATAATACCGACAATATACTTAAGACTCACAAAGGCAGACTCATATTAACTTTTAACTATGGTAATTCTCCTTTGCCTGATTTATATTAGTCTTGAAACAAGGCTTATTTCTACTCCGGTTAAAAGCGAGACAGAAAAAGGTAAAACAATAACTGCACATAACTGTACCTTTCAACAAGGATAACCATCAGGAAATGTTATGCCTTTTGTTAACCCTCATCTAAAGCCATTTAGTTGACTGAACTAAGCTCACAAGTTAAAAGTCGCTAAAATGAACAGTTCCAACATAACATTGCACATCCTGTAAATTTACAGTACAAATGTACATGGCTTTTCTGAAACATCTCTGTTTGGGGGCGCTCTAGGGGAATAAATATGTTGAATTACATGTAATACCATTTTTTACAGATCATAAAATTATATGGACCAATTTGTGAACATTTTCAACAGCCATATCGTGAACTCTACACGTACAGTGTCAGTCATAGACGCATAGGGAGGATCACAGGTTCCATTCATTCATCGTGTCAAAACAAGCATGAGTCATTTTCCCCTTTTATTGAGCCGGTTCAAACTTTCCCACGCACTTGTAAACGTAAATCACCTTGATAAAAAACAAAATACCACAAATACTGCATCGCTGGTGACGAACAAGGCGCGAAAAAGGCTTTAAATCGAAACGCAAGGTATTTCTATCAAGATTTGGCGCGGCGCTAGTCTAAGCATGGATCTTTGGGCAGCATACGAGCACAACTTTTGACGATGCTGCCAGTATCACTCTAGCTATAAATAAATAAAAAACACCTGTTTGCCAATGTCAAACACGTGTAAATCTAGGCTTACAATTCGGATCCAAATATTGCGCTAAAAATCTGACAGCCGCGTTATCCTCAGGGAATTCTGTGCCCTTTTCGCCCTCTTTTGATTTCTTCTCGCCTGAACTAACGACAGCTGTTTGCTAAGTTTTTCTTCGAGAGAAAACTGACAATGCTTTTAAACAGTCAGGGTATATCGAAGCACGCACCACCCATGATCCAAGTTGAGCTCTCTGGTAACCATCTAGCATGTGTCACCTCTTATATTTTCGTCTTGTCCATCATTTTGCGTCACTCTCTCATCTAAATCTCAAGACGAGTTTGCACACGCTATGCCATCCTCTTCTGGTTGTACTTTTTCTTTAGGATAACACTTCCTCGGTTACATCCCACTGTGAAGAATATCTCGTTGAATGTCTACTCTTCATAGCGATCCAAGGGGGTGACTGTAATAACTCACCATTTCTAGTAACCCCACGTGTAGTAAAACTGCAATAATCAGTCCACTTTTGTTCTGATTCCAAGCCTCTTCACCAACACGCCGACTCAGCTTCGTATTTCCTGAAGAAACCTTTAGGCGTGTTACTCTCCGTTATGGCGATCGTCACGTCGCCGATGGTCACGTTAGTAACGCTCACTTGTGAGGTTTCCTCCATCGAGTTGCGATACTTCCGCAGCAGAGCAAATTTCCCCAGCTTGACAGTGTTGGTAGGGATGGTGACGTTTGTGGTTGGCGAGGGTGGTTTAGAATCCATGGTGTTGGGGGAGGCGATGGGCGTGTCACAACCCATGTAGGTCGCACTGTTTGGCGGTCTGGGTACGGTGGGTGATGGAAGGCAACCAGCGATTGGCGATCTAGCATCATGACAATTACCAGCCGGAGAGTGGCGGTCATCGAGTTGCAAAAAAGCAGGTTTTTTGACAGTCTTTGGTTGTCCATTTTGAATGTCTTTATCTACACGGGTGAAGTTTGCGTTGGCGTCAGGAGTATCCATATCAGTGCATGGTGTTTTGTTACATCGTCCGTCATGGGCTTCCATGCTGTCTTGACACCCAATCTCCTCTTTCTCCAGAGAAGCTTGCTCATGTCGTTCTTGTTGGAGCTTGGCTTGTTTGGAGAGCAGCTGATATTCCTTGCACTTGGCAAGAAGTTCCCGCCTCTTGTTCTTCAAATCCTATTGAAACATCAAAAAGAAATGTAAAAAAAAAATTGCTAAATCTTTCACTGAACTTGAAGCACTAAAGAAGCGATGAGAAGTAACTGCAAGAGAGACAGACATAATGTTTGGCTCTGATAGAGACTAGATATTATGAAATTCATGGACTCGTTGACACGTTGCTTTATTTGCCCATGTCTACGACGCTGCAAAGACCGTACCAGACAAGGTATAGAAGGTTTGTATGGCTGCCATACTGCAGGTCAATGTTTGTTCAACAGGGCATGCACAAAGGAGATTTCCGGGTGGAACAGAAAATAATGCCCTGCACGATAGCTACACAAAGCTTCTACATGATGTGTATGGCGTCACAAACATTTTCATTAGTCGTAAGCTATTACAAATAATTCGCAACGGCAACCAAGTGGTTGCATACCACTCTTCTCTCGATACGAATTCGATTTCTCACTGTTGGAATTATTGCAGTGATGACATTGGATCACATTTCTTGATTAAGGTTTTCACTTCAGAGCAGGATCGTTGAATACTTATGCTGTGGTGTTCTTGTGTCAGGCTTTCATGCCAAATACGTTGCAAAAATATGACATCTGGGCTTATCATATTCTTCTTATATCAGCAGTTTAATAACTGTGGCATGAGACGAGATAAAACGTGCATATCGCAAAGCCTAGTTAAATTTTAAGAGGGGAAAAATATGGATCAACTGGCGCACGTTTCCAGTCATAATAAAGTGTTTCCTCTGTTAATCTTCTATGGGTATATAATTCCTGTCTTCGACATTGGCGCGAGCCGCACGCGTACATGTACCTGTACATTATTGCTGTTCGTGTGAATTAGATCTCTCCAAGGTAACCATGCAGACATGTTGACAGACTTTTTTAGCCTTTGGGAGCTGCAACGACTGAAATAAGTCGGGGCCCCGCCTCCGCACTAAACCTGAGCCAAGTTGCAACTGTGACTTTTTCATGCAACCTGTTTTTTCTCCGTGTGGTGAGTATGGCATAACTCCTTCACTACACGCAAGGTAAAATCTTTCACTGCTCACCATGGACCCAAACTATGCCGTGACATGCGGTTTTCCATACTGACACTTTATTGGCATATTCACGCTGTCAAAACCTGTTATATGGCATTACACAACATCCTAATAATATCTGTTATCTGATTGATGAGTTGTGACTTGAATTATTCGTTCCAGTGCATGTGTACGCGCGTGCACCGCTATATGAGAGCATCAGGGTGTCTTTCCATATGCGCGTCAATGTGACAATCGTTGCGTATCCGTCAAAATCGCTCCGACGGCCGAACGCAACGCGCTCATGTGGCATGTTAAAGGAATCGATTTCTGTATCCGTGAAAGTGAAATGAACACATTGTGTACGCAACGCACCCTTAAATGGAAGGTGCCCTTTTGAAGGAACAAATTAAATATGCCGTCAAACATTTGATAAGAGCAATTTGAAAGAAAAATGGTCCAGCAACGTGTGATCCGAAATGAGACAAGAATCCCCAAAAGGTTGACCTCTACGCAGTTCAGGCATTATGTAAAACAAAGAAGGACTATTTCACAATGGCCAGAATAAATTGAATAAGGTGATAGAAAAATTCCTGCTCAATTCCAGGAAGCAAAGCTGAGTGGAATGTAACATTCAATATGTTACTGAACATTCTTTATGAGTATAATATCGGGGAAAAGCATGTCCTTGTATCTAAACATAACATGAACGGTTTTACCGTTTCACATTTTTGCTCGAGTAAATAATTTGTTTTCTCAAGTGTTACCTTGATCTTTTGATCCAGTTTTGTAATCAATGATAATATAACTGGGAAGAATTAACATATCTATTTTCCCCAGCAGTTCTGTGACTGTACATTAATCGCTCCATATTAAGTTAGTGCCGTTGTACATGTACATAGGACAGCCGTCGTCTGTGTGGTTTATCTCTACACTGTATTGCACGACTGTTCAAAAACGAGACGAGTTTTCAGACGAAAGAGCCCTTTGCGACGTTCGATTTCTGATACTGAATGCTGTGGCTGTCTCGGGTTGCACAGTCGCCGGTCATGAACGTGAAGCTCTATACTCGCAAATCAACGGATCGGGTTAATGTTTTTATCTCCGAGAATCTTTGTTATCATCGCATTGAGAAGATCCGGGAAAATTATCCAACAGCCGACATGTTGGGGGTGATATTATATGTCTATTATCAGCTGGCGTCAATAACGTGGATTATGTTACCGTTTGTTCTCTCAATTAGAGCCCGGAAGAAAATGTAAAATCTTCAAGCAAATGACAATTGGGGGCAAAGGGAAATCAATAGCTTCTGGCCCGGATGTGGAAGGATGGCTGCCTGGGTTATCAAAGGACTCGCGGTTCAATCATCGACGGGAAAAGAGGCCACTTGGGAGGTTTCCAGAAACACTGAAACATTAACGTCCATATATACCAAGATAACCCTTCACATCAGTCCAGGCTCATCCAATTTAACATATTTAGTTATACACTGTCCAGATTGGCGACTTCTTATCCGAATAATTCAAAAGTGAATGACCTTCAAGATACTCAAAATAATTCCTGGGACTTTTTTTCGAGATCTACCTTGTTGATTTATCAAAGGCGATTTGAAAAGCAGTTTTGGAAGCCTTGCAGTGAGCAAATGCACAAAGAAATGGAGCAGTTTTCTCCTGAATATGAGCATTCTTCCTGGTACAAAATCAGTCGCCCGTGTTCTTCATATGATAGCTGTCGTCCATTACCCTCTCATGCCTTCCCACGCCCTGTCCAATGCGTCAAGCTGCTGAACACAAAAGGGGATAACCTAAGCACGACGACACCGGGTCACTTAATGCACTATACCCCCTATTGACTGGTTCCCTCCCAAACTGTACTTACCAGGTCCAAGAACGGTTCCAATTAAGGGACACGAGAAGAGACGCTAATTCAATGCTTACATAGATTTCTTTCAATCCAACAGTTATGCTCGGTATCTCACGAAAACGACGAAGAGCAAGGCATGCTGGCTGTAATCACTTACACGGGCCATAAAAAAGAATGGGCAATAAATCCTGAAGTCCACGGCTTGACCTCCAGTCACCTTATCACATTTGAGTGATGGGATGAAGGTCAATCATTCAATCATCTTGAGGGTTAAACTTGAACCGAAGGTCCATGAGGTGCATGGAAACATCAGTCAATGCCTCTTTCACACCAGCCCATCTCCTCAATAAATTTACCACATGGTCTATTTCTTTTTATACTTTTCATGAGAAGAATGGCCATTTTATTATGAATTCTGTATTCCCAACTCTTCTAATATCACACCAGGCCTACGCACTTAGGTTTAGCTCTGGCCTTTTTCCTGCGACCGTAAATTCCAAAAAAAGACGATTGGCCGATGGCGCAATTATCGACAAATCGTGAAATAAGATCGACTAATCACGTATAAAGATCCGGTGATCGCGCATATCGACCTATCGCACCGATCATATCCGTTTCGAGAGACATTCAATCAAACCATTAGCCTTATGTAAACAGCAAAGCAGACTTTTGTCCATAGAGCATTCAAGCACCTCACATTTATTCCGTTTGGTACAATGCAGCTTCTGAACGGTTAATATTGAGCTAAATTTTCGGAAAGTTGATTTAACATCTAAGTTTTCCGTGCACATAAAAATCAATGCTCTTTTCTCCATAATATGAGAAAGTGTTAGCCTACATGGGATAAACTATGCACCAATGCTGCTGTAAATAACTACATGTAATATCTCCTGCGTACCTGAGATATTTTTTGTAACATGTAACCGCCCGCACAAAAAACACTAACAGCGCTTAATTGTAGGGAGAAAATAATTTGTTGCGGCAACTTTACACAATCTTGATGTCTCAGAACATCAAATATCATTTGAGATTTTTTCCTCTGCGTATCCCTCCCCTGACGCGTCATGACGCCTGCACTATATAGAGAAGTAACAATCCTCCATTCAAAAACTAGATTTCCTTTGTCCAGCCGCTGTGAAAAACTAGATTTGATGCGTGGTTGATAAATTCCCATTTTTATTCTTTAACACGAACAAAGAGACTGCGACCTTTGCGAGTAAGTGGAAGTCAAGTTCGTTGACCCCAACCCATTTCCAAACGGCCAACAGCTGCTGTCTTGCTATTCAAAGTAGCACGTGCTTGTAAGCCTTCCTCAATTTGGGTGAGCCCAACGGCTTTGCGTTTTATACCCGAGTCGACAGCCATACGCTGCACTCGCGGGTAGTTGCTCGTGAATGCCAATATTTGTCAACCAGTTTCGTCAGGAAAGAAAGGCTTCATTAAACCTGGAACATTTGCAAAAATGTTACACCAAACATACAACTACTGCAGTGGTCTAATCTAGCTGTAATGACTACTTTACTCTTTCCAAAAAATTATCTATTTTGTTTTGTTGAAGGTTTGTTCCCTTGAATAATGAAGATTAATAAAGTCTTTCGTCTTTGAAGCCATGATGAATTTTGGCCATTTGATATGTTATAATACAGGTTTTCCCAGTTGATTTTGCACTTGTTTCTTTTAAAATTCCTTGAATGAAAATTTCGTCAAAGAAGAGTCACTCGCCCTAAATGTTGATTCCAATTTCGAGAAAACGCCACTAAATTTCACTTTCAGAGCACTGCAATTCACGAGAAAAAACTACTTATTCGTCCTATTTTTTCCTCGTTTTCGTCTTACTCCGACAATAGCGTTGAATTGGAAAAGCAAATTCGTCTTTATCATCAATGTTACCGATTTAATCATTCAATTTCGTCAGTGATATAACTTTCTATACAAAGAATTGGCCCTTAAAATCTAATTAACAAGAAGTCAAATAATAGTGAGTAAGGTTATTATTATACCTCATTTCTTCGGTCCATTCTTTCTAAGTCAATTTTGAATCGCAACAGAAATGACGTCCAAATAACCGCTAATTCAAACCATCTTAATGACACATTGTATGAGGAAATCGAACGATTAAATCGGTAAAACAGATGACAAAAAACGAATTTGCTTTTCTGATTGGGACAAAAATTATGATAAATAGGACGGATAAGTGTGTTGTTTGCAATTTTCGAAATTGAAATAAACATTTAGGGTGAGTGACCCCTCTCTGACGAAATCAAACTTTCATTTAAGTATTTTTTAATAAAAAAAGTGCAAAATTAACCGAGAAAACTTATACTAATCAAACTGACGTAGCCGAAATTTCCAGCTGCGTAGTACGTGGCAAATACATGTACCTTCATGAGTGTTTTATAAATGAAAAACGTTTATGTAAATATCGTCAATGCACAACACTTGGTGATGATAATGACATGTGCACTGATTTTGGAGAGGATACAAAAAAATAGCTACAGAGCGACTTCAGCTTGTTGCTTACTATGCAGTGACTTCAGCTTGTTGCTTACTGCAGAGCGACTTCACGTTTTTGCTTAATGCAGAGCGACTTAAGCTTCTTGCTTACTACAGAGTGACTTCAGCTTGTTGCTTACTGCGGAGTGACTTAAGCTTCTTGCTTACTGCAGAGTGACTTAAGCTTGTTGCTTACTGCGGAGTGACTAAGCTTCTTGCTTACTGCGGAATGACTTAAGCATGTTGCTTACTGCACAGTGACTTAAGCTTGTTGCTTGGAAATAAAAAAAATACTGAGTTGAGGTACTAACATACAAATACTAAATAAAGTCCCTTGGTTGATTATAAAGATGTGCAGCCTACAAAACGGTACTGTACTAAACTCGATTGTACACTCAAACACAAATTTTGTGGTTATTATCGACTTTCAACCTCGTAAAGCTCCACAATTCCCCAATGATCCGTTCCAGGTTCTGTTGTTTCCGCATGGCGCATTTCTTCTGATGTGAAAAAATCTTCCATGAACTTTACAGCGTTTTCGATAAAAGTGGAAGTTCCAATCACGGGGTTTAATATTTCAAATAGTATAGTATCCCTAGTTAATTTACTATTCTGAAACTGTTTTTTTTCGAAGAGCTCCTACTTGAAATTGCGACTTCATACCGTTGAAACAGTGTCAGGGCAAAATTAATAACGATTTAATTAATTAAGAATCAAATTATGACGGACAGTCCTTATATCTCCGGGACTTTGTGAGCAACATGAAACTTGAATCAAACGTTTTATTAGAGATTTTTTTACCTTAAGGTTAGCCGGCTTACGGCCGGGTCGTCCCCTCTTGTATTCCTCAGCAAGCCTGTAAAATAACAAAAAAGCCAAACGTAATTGAATATTGCGTTATGCGGTTTCAGTTGTTGCATGAAGTACCGGGTGAATATTTTGTAGCCATCTTTGTCTCCTTGTACAAACAATGAAAAGTTCTGGAGTGAAGTGAAACAAACAAGCTTTCCGTTAAGTTCTCCGCAGCAGTATGGCATTTCATATCCAATATACTGTGTTCATGTTTGACCCATAGGCCTACATCCAAACAGCAACAATGAAAAACGGAATAGCTTGACTGTTCCAAATAAACTCTCATGTCGTCTATTAACGTTTCTCGACTCTGAAGTTCAGTTGATGTCACCAGCTAGCAATTTGGCCTTTTTAGTGAACTCAAGTTTGCGAAGAACTGAAGAGTCCTCACATTTGTGTAGATTTTCGTAATTCAGCAAACCAAAGATTTGATAATTCAGAAAGAAAAAATCAAAACAGGGACAAACCAAAATCCTGCCTAAAAACACTCCCAAAATACTTAATTGAAAAATCAAAATTCTCTCCCTTAAAAAGGCAAAACCCAAACTTCAAGCTAATGGAATTGTGCAATCTCTCTGCCACAATATGTAAAACAAAAACATCACACACTCAACTGAGAAATGACGGGAAATCAGGAACGACGAAAGCATCGATTTCCCTTGGGGAGGAGTTGACAGTAAAGCTGACATTTTCCTCATATGCTAATCTTTATGTTTTTGAGTTGTGCAGTTGTACGGTCGAAACAGCGCCACAAAACCCAGTTCATCACAACAAAATAGCATTGTTTTAGACGCCGCATGCTAGGCGTGTCTAACTTAGCATAACCGTATTTAGTAGCGACTATCTAAAATACCGGTATTACTCTGTGACCTTGCAATCAAGATAACCAGGAGTATCAATGGAGGTTCAGTTTTTCTTGCCATTAATTTTTTTTTTCAGCTGATGAGGTCACCTTGTAACCTTCTTTCACATCATCACAAAGACAGAGTACGGAAATTCAATATATGACTATATAGCGCACCATCAAATATATCTGTAGATAGGTTCTTTTTATAATACTGGATTTCATGCCGCGGTTTTTGAACTTTAACGTTAAAATCAATGCTCAAGTAAAATACTTCACTTGGAATATTCTGCAGTGTTCCCACGCGTGATCTCCAAAAATGGGTTAGGGAGAATCCTTGTCCTAAAATCAACACGCAAGTATAGTACACTTTCACAGGCAGATCACAGCACACATATACTGGCCTTGGAAACATCGATCTGACAGTAGAGGCGAATAACGACAATAGACAGCCAAACCACAAAGCCCCCCTTAACGCAATAGTTTGGCAGTTGCAGCCTCATTTATCTATCGGATCCTTTTCATTAAAGCTGTTGCAACAATGATATCGCTGGGCTTGTGCACATGCAGCCAAGGCGAGGCAGTAGGCCATTTACAGATAGTCACGTCACGCGACTGTACGCAGCTATACGTCCTCTTCTTTTATTCCGAACGTGCGCCGTTGCGTGTGCATGTTGGCCGGCAGTAGGCAAATCTAGGAAATGAAAATTAACTTGATACGACCATATGATACGACATTCGTATAGCGTGGGAACCGAAGAGCTCCAACCATCGTTTCTGCTAGAGCTTTTACATTTTCGAGTTGAGAACGATCTCACTATTTAACAATAAAATGTTGCCTATTTACATCACCGAATACCCATCTGTGATTGCGCGCCTGTGCCTAGATTCAAATATTTTTGGTTTAATATATTGACCAAACTTTTTTCACCGAGAACCTGAAGAAAAATCTCTGTTCGTGTAATTCTTACCTTACCATTGGGCTAATATCTCCCCTCTCTCCTTTTTAAACATATTTCTTCCTTTGGATACTGATAATGTATCTAATGTGGAGGGGTGAGTTTTCCCCCTAAATCTCATTATCGGCCGGTAATCGTTTCCTCGCATGTCTAAAAGGTCAGAAAGTGCATGATTTTTCGATTTACTTTAGATTTGCTCACTTGTTTTGTGGGAAGATATTGTTAGATATTTTCCCACAACCTGACCAATCACTCTTTGTATAAGTTTAAAACACATAAGGTTTAATCAAGGTTTCAAAAAAGGCGTGTCCTTATTTTCTGCAAAATGGGTGTGCTCCAAATGCCCCCAAATGATTCACGTAGGCCTACGATGTTTGGACCTTCATGTATATTAAGGTAAACTGCAAAGTCGATCCAAATTCAAGCTAATATGGCTCAATTTCGAATAGTGGGTCCGAGTAGGCCGACAGGTCTATCAAAGTTTCAATACTGAACACGGTTCATTCTATCAGACTTGCTATGGCCTCAGCTATGGAACAGCTGAACGGCCATTTCTTTGACATTGGCCCACGCAATATCCCCACACTCGGTAAATGCTGCTAACCTCCACAGTCATCGAGCCTCGTCAGTCAGGGAGGGGGACGGTACAATGTACATGTACGATGCGATTTAAGGATTTCCATGAAACCATTGACGTAACTTGCCCCCCCCAAGTGCCCCTCCCCCTTGAAGTCCGTGAATAATCTCCGTTGAGTTTATATAGCTATATGCAGCGGCAGAATATTTCCTTGAAAACCTGCGCGCACACCGGGTGCCCCCGGATATTTAGGCCTAGAACTAATTACGTCACTGCTTAAAAACCAGAATATATCGTTACAAATCATCCATGCGGTGTTTAGCACATCTTCCAGACACAAAATATAGTGTCGGACAGGTATGATCTTCAGTTTCAGCATGGAGGGACAACCACTGGTACTCTGTTTACATAAACTCATGTACTTCGCCATGCAACCTGCGAGAGTCGGGCGTTTACTTGCACAAAACCACTCGAGCTAATTACGTATTCAGTTACAATGAAAATATTTGCTAAGCATTACTAAATGCACATATTCCGTCTCACATAGGTTTATGTAACTGCACAGCTGGGCATAAATTTCAGTCACATAAATGTGAGACCATCCAATTCGAGGTAAAATCTGGGGAACATTACGGACTTATTTTTCGTGGATAAAAAATGAAGAATAATTGTGATCAATCTACTCAAGCGTTAGTCGTATGCGCGTAGTGGTGAGACCAACTCATAATTTCACAGATTAATGCAACTCACGCGAAGCTTAATGACTATGTTATCTTCTGACATCTTGAAGGGCTAGTTTTAGTGCGGCATGTCTGCACGAAATCAAAAGGATGAGTTGAATGACCTCAGAACTGAATATTTTCAACAACCACGGGGGGTGCTAACGTCATCCTCAGTTACAAGATCGGTTGTGTAATGTAGGATTTATCGTTGCGCAATACACACCGTGCATCCAGTAATCTTGACAGAAACACAGTATTTAATTCTTGTCATGAAGAATAAGCATAAGACAGTCAATTAATTTCCCAGAAAACCCAACACCATGGCAAATGTTTGTACCGACACCGGTCTTCAAAACATACATGTACATGAAAATTAGGCTAATATAACTACATGTATTTCTTCCTGCACAGTATGACAGGGTCCGATTGGACTCTGACATGTACAGTGTATATATATGTACAGCTACAGGCTTCCCACTATCACTGCTTTGTGTTCAGAAATTCCGTAGAATACAAATAGCATAGCTAAAGATAGCAAATCAATAACTTAGGGCTCGACTGTAGTGTTAGAATTGGCAAAATACAGACATAACACCAATAATCTCCTTGTATGCGTAATCAATCGAAAAGTCAAGGACCGAGATTTTATATGCCAAGCGTGTCCAGTCTTCAGAATTATGAGTGTAATGCAGGACGCCCATGCAGACAATGAGTTCAGACTTGTTAATTATTACTTCCTCTTCAACCACAGTATTCAACCTCGAGCCCAATTACGAAATTGCATGCATGTAAACGGTATGTACGTGAACCGCAACAGATTTCACACTATACCTTTCCATCAACAACTGAAAATACTGACGGATTTCAAGAAACGTTGTAAATTCAGAGACTTTTTTGAAACCCTATTGTGATTTTACAATCCTTAACTTGATTGCAATTTGCAATTTCCCCGTTGTGTTCAAAATCTAGGTAGGGAGGGTCATTAAGATGACTAGAATAATGATCAGAGAGTGTCATCCAAATGACATTCATTGAAAGATGTCGTGGTGAGTCTTTCCTTGCCGACGTTCACATGTTAATCTCGCGGGACCTCGGGTTATTTATAGATCTATTCACGCCAAGAAGCTGTTGTGTTTACCAGGAAGTGAGAGGGGAACAGTCGTGTGACGCACAGTGTGTGTCTAATATCCCGATGTATGGGAGCATGTCTTCAAGGGGCATGAGTGCACATCGCCTCATCGCCTTGAAGGGGCAAGCACATTATCTAAAACAGGATGGTAATAATGAAGAGGATAGGATTTGGCAGTTGCGCAATGTCGCCACTGTGTATCTATCTATTCACCTCGTAGGCCTACAACAATAAACTTTTGATATTCTTGCTGTCCACAGATGTCCTAGTGTTTCTATACTCACTTCGTGATCACGTAACATTTTAAAACCAAAACGATCAAATAAAATGACGAAAACAGCCATTAAATAATACGAATCATTACCGCGGCTGTTTACGACCCTTGTAAAATCTTACTGTCGTCTAATAAAATTTAAGATAGCTTGTCCTTTAGATTTAAAAACAATAAAACAGACGAAGAGAATTATCTATATCACAGTTTAATCATGCTCGGCAGACCATTAAAAGAAGTCAATAATGACAATTGAATCATGTCCTTCGTATTTCTTCTCTTTGGTCCTACCCAAATTGCTTACAACAACGTGCGACTCAGTTACTTTGAATTTAGCGATAACACATTGGCGCAAACGTTCCAGGTTTCGTGATCAACGCATCTTATCTTCATACATTACGGCTTTATGTTCACTGCATGATAGTGCCCCTCTCTACTTTACCAATTTGACTTTATTTTTGTCCTCACCGGTTCCGGTCATAACCTCTGATGCCCTACGCGTATACGACGCATGCGACCTCCAAACTACTCTGCCATGTTGTGTAGACAGAAACATCAATAAACACTGTTGTGAAGAAGTGAACTCATTTCACAGTGTCGAGTCCAGTAACATGCTTAATGTAAATATCCTGCTTCATGTCGGCCGTAAGCCACGCACAATACATTAATTCAATGTGCTTCTTCAACGCTCAACGAATCGTTCACCTTTCCTAATAAGACTGAGGCACAATTCAGATCAAAGTGTTACTGGCCCATCATGGTTAACACAGCGTCATAACGTCAGACGTAGAGGGTTCCAAAATAAAACACAGGGAAAGATTCAGATAAAATGGGGGGCCTATACTGTACGGGTTGTCAAAAACGTAAATTAAATGTGGCGTCACCAAGCGACGCACCGCTAATTCATTGCAACATTTGGACATACTGTACTGTCAGCCCTGGAGACTATACATATACAGGTTTCTCACGTGACGTACATAACATGACCGGAAGAGGCATTTCAGGAAGGGTACCATGTCTGTGTAAGCGCATACATTTCGATTCTGGGTATTTCTATTGGCAATTTCACGAATTTTCAAAGGCTTCGAAGGCGCATACGTTTCCACGCATATTTGTGTTAATTGAGTGCTGACCGTCAAAAATAACAAGAGTAAAAATCATTCATTCTGTCCAAGGAAGCTTTACATGTACATGTCAATCAAAAAGATATACGTAAACATTTTTTAAAATAACTATTATGACTATAGTCGATGCAACTGGGGCCTGGAAAATTGTTGGTACATGCACTAACAGGCTCTTCAACCAATGCCCAGCTGAGGCATTTATTGCGAAAGAAGTAACAGGAAACGCACCCGTTTGTAAATAACCCGATCACATTCTGTTTGCTGTTATACTTAAACTATTGGCCTTTGGATCCGGGATATATTCAGGTAGGCAAAGTTCAATGGCGCTTTGCGGACATCGATTCCTAGGGACGTCGCTGCTTTTTTTTCCCGGCCAGACGAACAGCCCGGAGTACCGGTTATGAATGCTGGGTATTGTCCAGGCTAAACAGGAGGGACCTTGCAGTGAGAGGACTTACCTTTCTTCGAATTCCAAGATCAGCCCTGGATCGAGGATGTTGTATTCTGGTTCCCAGGTGTTCATTCTGTCAAATAAAAACAACACCGATTTCTTTTTTGGATGTGTACTTCCTGGTGAAAGTGGTGAGTGCGTGGCGACATGTATGAACACTCAACAGATTAAAAAACTCCCGAAGTGACTATAATATAGGCACAACGAATTTTGGAATCGGCAGCACATTGAAAATAGCCAAATGAATCCAAATACCCCCGTTTTAATGAAAGGGCTGTTTTGCATGAATTTAACATGGTGCCAAGGAAACCAAATTACAGTAAACAGACAGTTTCCAAATGATGTTAAAATAATCAATCAATTAGATGCTTTGAGAGCATAAATTTCATCCTTCTGTGTGGTATTTTTGTCAAATGTACTACTACGTTGCATGCTTTCACGTACGTCCATTGATGGATGAACAGGTACAAAGCTGTGAAACCGACTCTTTTGAGGGGAAAATGTCCTCAGGTGTTATGTTTTCTTGCGTTTTCAAGAATGGTTTCAAAGGGAATTTCGAGGAGATCACTGGCCAAGATTTCGAAATTAAAGGGATCCTGCGGTGGCTTTTTGAGGACACGGTTTTCTTTGTGCATCACTCTCTTCTTTGACGTATAAAAACATATTGGAATCCTTTGTGGATTAAGAGATTTGAAAGTGTACTTTTAAATCAACTTTAAATTGTCCAAGCTTTTCTGACCAAAAAAAGGCACTGCTTCCGTGATGTCAAGCTATTTTTTCTGTTCGAATTGTGAATCGAAAAGTTGCTCGTTGAAAATATTTATGATACAAAAACTACATTCTGCGAGATCAAATCAGCTTATGTGGTTACACGTGCAACATTTTCCCACCAAACGATCAACTCCTTGTAATCAAAAGACAATGGATCGCATAGGCCTTCCCTGAATAAACATCAGCAAATCTTGAAAACTTGTTACTGGAGCGCGTCGATATGATCTCCATGTTTCTAACAGCAGGGTAGAAGTGGTCTCTGAAATCATCATCATCAGTAGACGTTATATCTGCAACTGCCCCCAAGGTCAATACCCATTGCGACCTTTAATTGACTTACGAGGTTATCGATCGGATCAAGTTTTGATCAATCTGTCTTGACAATCTGCATTATTTTTGTCCCCTCCCGTCCTGCTGAGGGACGATGTTTGTAAGCTGTGGCCCCCACAAACGCCTCCAACCACGCAGATATGAGTCATATCATTAGAGCTCTAGTGGCAGCATCCACATGGGTCGCTCATGATTTACCGGGGCTGCCCGGAGAGTTATTGCGACATGACATCAGCTACAGTCATGGTATCATATTTCAAACAACTCCAAAACTCCGTTAAAGCATATGGTTAGAGTTGTTCGATTCAGCCATTTCCTGAAGGACATGAATTTTGACACAATTGAAAAACCACCATTTCGGTTGAAGTATCCCATAAAAAGTCACGTCACTGTTATCATTAATTTTGCATCTTAATGCATTATGATGCAAAATTAATAAAAGTGACGTAACGTTTGCAAGGGAAGAGATACATATTTGTGGACATACATTTCACAGCTTCTCTTGTATAGTCAGGAAAACAAATGCCTGAAAAATCCACAACCTAATTTTATATATAAATTCATTTCACTTAACATTTCAAACAAGGTCAATGTCAAAGGCTACTTGGAATTAGGAACAATGATTGGCAAAATCAATCGATCGAACGCACTTCTGTAATCTGAATCCTAGCTGTCAGAAGGGGAGTGATACCAAAATCCACATGTTCCATCCCCTCATCGGAACGTTATCCGAAATCCTGTCATTCCTCGAAGACAGAACCAACTCACATCTCCGAGAAGCAATCTTGCAAATCGGACAAACAGATGTTACCGTAAAACGGGGTTTATTTTCCAACTTTCTTATGACCGAGCCCCAGGAACTCTCTCAACCATGGAACGAAGCTTTGAATGCATCGAAGCACAGTAAGACTCGCCTTAGAAAAAAAAGGACCCCTCACATGTGACGTGCGTGACATCGCAACAGAGAGCGTCATTGTCTTTGTCCACATGTGACAGGCATGCTATATGTATTTTCCCCGTCACTGGATCTAAATAACAACTGCTACAGAAACCCCAAGAAAGGCCATCAAACTGAAAAGGCGTTCAATTTGTGGGTCTTTTATTCCTCCATGCTCATGACACACAAACATTTCACCAATGAAAGTGTCCTGTTGAAAACCAGTATTTCTCAGTAAAAAGATCTAGTTGCAACAGCTTAATTAAAATCTTATGAGTATGTCTTATTCAACTCAGCCACGCTTTATCTATGAATAATAATGAGGAACTGCGTTGAGGGGCGTATTCTTTGGTCGATGTGGTCAGTTGCACGTTATTTGTTTATCAAAACAGGCATGTGCAGGTGTGGCACACACATTATGACATTACTGACGTCATATTGCTATTTATATACCTGTTAGGGAAGCCTTTCCACTTGACAAGGAACTCGACCTTCCCCTGTAAACAGAAAAGAGAAAATAAATCATTTCAAATTCACGAATAATTGGAGAAAATCCATGGTACAAGGAAGTTCAGTGAACTTTTATTAAATTGGCTGAATCGCGGCAGTTGGGTTGGAAGTTGATGGGTAGGAAGCGGGAGATTTTTAATATGCCCGCCAAACCAACATCTTTTCCTCTGTAACAACTCAGAAAAAAAATTGGGAGTGATGGGTTGTGCCTCAAGTGTTTCCAAGATATTGTCATTCTCCATAGCCGATCGTAATGTGCTAAATTGGTGGTTAACAACAACGACTTGGAGGTTAGCTGTGGATATTCCTTGGGCTTCGATGGTGAACCAACTTACCCCACGTGACTGCTCATTCCCCCCCCCGTAAAAAGAAAACCCTAACCTGTAAAACGGCCACATACTGCGCTAACGAGATAAACGAACGGCTTTTGAGTCACAAGTCCACACTTCCATCACGATACAACGAATTCAGTGGGCAGCGCCAACGAGTTATCTGGCTAGCGTGGGTGGATTTTTATAAGCTATGCCCAGGGCGTTCAAGTTGACTGTCTACGGCCGTCGTGGCACAGCACGGGTCGCAACATGTAGGCCTACATGTACATGTACAGTACACGTACAACCCGCCATACAGGTTGACTATGCCAAAAGACGATTGTAAATATATCACCCTGACGTTATCTTTACGATGCCTGGCATTGTTTGTTGGGTATGCGCTCAACTCGTGAATACAATAAGCGACTCACAACTCCTATAAATCGATTATTGCGAAAGTTGGATGCATAATGTTTAAGGTTTTATTAAAAAAAACAAATGAATACATCTTTGCATAATTAATATATTGGATGCATATAACCAATATGTGAAAACAGACACGTACAATCAAAAATTTTCAATTCCAAAAATGTTATAATTACTTTTGATATTGAATTACACATGAAGGGTTCTAGTTGTAATTAATGGATACGGACTATAATGCAAGAGAAAAATTCAACTTAAAATTTACTCTGGCAAGTTTCACGCAAAGCACCGTTTAATGAACGTTACAACAGTATATAATTAGCAAAATTTCGTACGATATATTAATATTATTCAGTTTCTAGTAAATAAATACACAACGATAATTCTACACCCTATGAAACTGAGGTCGCACGCATTCATATATCACTGGCCATTTTCAACAGAAAACCCAACTCCAGAGATATTGCATTCCACGTGAAATCAAACTGACCTTCGTTGGTAATTATTACATAAAACTGTTGCATACTCACGTGTCTCGATCGCCTCTTTTTGATGCAATCAGCAATGAACACTTTCTCACCGTCCATGATCGTGAAAAGATGCAATAAATAATCCAATGGATTCTCAAAATGAACCAATCCTAAATATTGTGACGAGTTTATAAGCGCTCGACAGCTGTCATTACACGGTAGTATTCCTTACCGACTAGCCGTTGGAGATTTTTATCGTTCAAACTCATATGTCGGTTTTATTGAATGGTTTGCTGTGATCATATGTACGCATGCTTTTTGCGTTGACTATGGACTAATCTACCTACATGTGTACGTGCGTATATTAAACCGGTACAGTGGCGTGCGCATATGGCCAAGTACATGTACATGTAGACAGCGCACACTAAGCGCACAGCCAATCAGACGAGATCAACTAGCTGACTGCGTCCGTGCGGATGGACTGCTCACTAACGACTAGCTGAGTTGACACAACACCGCTCGACTGCTATGACAGCCTTGCCACTGAACACGTGACGTCTCCACGAGGCTGTTTACATGCATGACGTCATAGCTATTGTTGCGAATGATGTGACCTTTTTTGGGAATCCAGCCATACCCCCCTTCGCAACACCATGGAGGTGGAAACAGCCAACACAGTGCTTTCACGGTAGAGCGCTAATTTAAACAAGTGATCCGATTCAGACCTGAACTGGGTGTTTTTTTCTCTCTTTATCTATTCGCTCAATTCTCGCAAGGGTCAAAAACATGAACAATTATTCACTGGTTTAATATACATGTACACCGCACAAGCATGGTTGCTGTAATAAAAGTTTAGGTGTTTAACCATGGTTGAACCGAAGCTGATACAGAGGTGAAATCAATATTCAGTAAAAATGGGGGAAATGAATAGAAAAATGATTGCATATTACCGCAGTACAAATCATTGCCATTGCGGAACTCGACGGGACCCAATCCAAAACTGTTCATATTAATACACCTTACATTAGTTAATTAACTACATGTCGTTTGTTGATCAACAACGCGTACATGCACATGTACACGATGGTGGTCTTACATCAATTGGGGTAGCAACAATGCCATATGTGACGTTTGACCTGACTAAGACGAGGCATTGCACAACACACTATTGCATTTCATGAAGCAATCTAGAAAATTGCACTTTACAGGCCATACGCTAAAATGAAGTGTTTAAAGTGGAATTAGACTAGGAAAAAATAATGTTGCATCTGGGGAGAAACCCAGATCGAACAGTCGGGCAAGTGACTGTAATCGTAGAGCAGTATGCTGTAAGGAAACAGGCAGTGACTCTGTAGGAGGGGGTGGGGTAAAGGGACAGGGTTGTGTAGAGGGGTGGGGGTGTAAACATCATGGGTGTCAAACTAAAATGACTCTGAAGGAAAGGGTGGGGTGAAGGGACGGGCTGTGTAGAGGGGTGGGGGTGCAAACATCATGGGTGTCCAACTAAAATGACTCTGAAGGAAAGGGTGGGGTGAAGGGACGGGCTGTGTAGAGGGGTGGGGGTGCAAACATCATGGGTGTCAATCTCAAAAGCAATCATCATCTCAGAGTGCTTTCGGCCGGATGTTCATTACATCAAATAAACTGTTTGAGCAAAGGTTTCTTTGGTAGAAAGACTGAGAGAGTAAAATCATGAGCGCGATGTATTCTCCGACGACATGATGTCATACTGACCAAAAGCATCGTATAAAACGGGGTTTATTTCCCGACTTTCTTAGGACCGAAGCCCGGGAACTCTCTCAACCATGGAACGAAGCTTTGAACGCATCAGAGCAGGGCGGGGTGAAGGGACGGGGCTATACGGAGGGGTTAGGGGTGCAAACATTCTCCGACGACATGATGTCATACTGACCAAAAACAAATTTCTCCCTCGACAGAAGTGAGTCTGTTGAGGAATAACCGGAGCGTTATTCATAACAAGGGCATTCTCGGTATATGTCTCCAGAAGACAACGCAATTTTGACTAACTGTGTAATTACAATAAACATTGGCACCTCAAGATCAGACTATAAATTAGGGAAACAAACCCTCCACCGGGGGAAAAGTTTGTGCTCTTTTTTTGCATAAAAATCAATTTATACATTAATATCTATCCAAAAAAGGAAAATGTCTCCGTTTCCTTAACGAGCGAATAAATTTGAATCAGATTATGACGCTTAACAGTTTTAAATATCCGTAAGTAGATGTAGACTTTTCAATAAATTCTCGGCAATGACACTGAAGAAAATGCTGTTAATTTTACACAGCATAATGTCTTATCGGCTTAACTTAAAACAAGAAGACACCCAAGTACATTAAACTTAAATTCAACTTTCACGCGGAATATTTTTCGTTCAAAGACAATTCTTTTTCAATCAATCACATGGCGTATTATTGCTTTTTTCGAGGCGCTTCCGTCCATTGAATGGTTTGTTGTCTGCACGCGCACTAATGCACAATGCCTCGGGCAGACGGTATCATTGTTAACAGCCAACGCCTTGTTTCGATTTGTGCTGACTTACAAAACGAGATGACTTGGCCAATATCTCAACAGTTCGGCCAGTTGAAATGTTAATTTTGTTACTCAAGGATGCGTCATCATTATTGTGTGCCAAGAAAATCCAGGATTATCGCTGTGCAGAAATTGCGTAAGATTTGCCGTTGTTCAAGTAGTCAAACTTTGGTCACAGCGACATGATCTTGTCAAATCAGCCATTCATAGGCAATTCGTTGGAGAATTATAACCATGTTGAAGTCGTACTGGTATAGGCCTACAGTGTCTCAACTCCATTTTTGATGTATTTTTAACAGCCATGGCATGTTATAGTATACATAATGTAGCTTAGTATATAGTATAAATAATGAATGCTTATGAGTGCGATGGTAAAAGTAATTGCATGAAGTGACAGATGAAATGATCTATTCCAATATTCCAATTCTGAAGCAATTATGCTTACCATTGCACATTCATTATTTGTTTTATATAACACCTGTATAAATCCCTGTCATTGGATTTTCTGAATACAGCTGGATCAATTAACTGATTCAAACTGGAAGTTGTCCAGTTGTGAATCCGTTAATTTTCTGACACAATATTCCAATCAGCATTACTTACAAAAACAAGTTCTTATCATTATTTTGCAGAATTGTGAAACTTGCGGAGCTTGATCGCTCGTAATTTTGCCATTGAAAAACTTGTACCGGTAGAAGCCGCAGTGCAATCTATTCGGAGGCGTTTGAAGTTATTCATTTCTAACACACAGTTGTTATAATCCTTTTGAAGTCTGCGTGCATGTTGCGTGTGCGTCTTGCGAGTGCTGAGTGTTGGTACAAATAATTCAATGCCATGTGATCAACAATCTACCAATCAGATGACGGGGATTTATGCAGGTGTTGTATAATTCCCATTAAACCTGCATATGGTAAAAAGATCTGCTAACTGAAAATCACATCTCGAAAAATCAGTTGCAAAACTGTCTGTGTGACAAGCTTTGAGTGTGAAGCGTTATGCGCACGTGCGGATCTCGTTCGCTCCTTTCACATAGAAATCCAGCTAGCTCATATAAGGTATTAACGCGTACACTTAATGTGAGACCCAGATTGGTCGTAACACATGTACACGTCAAATATATCGATTTCATACAGGAATTGACTCATTTTGGTCAGAAAATTTGTCTAATACTTGGAATAACTCTTAAACACGCGTGGTGTCTCATTGAAAACAAATACAAGACGAAAACAGCTGATTCCAAGAGCGACAGAACAGACGAGTGACGCAAATGATAATGGAACACTTTCTCTCTGTCGTAACTTGTTGTTTGATAAGGCCGTGGATTAAGATGAGCTTATCCATTCTGACGTCAAGATGTGCATCTTACCGTCTCTGTTCCAAAATTCATGCTCAAGTTTCCTCAGGAAACAACTAATGGGGACATGTAGACCAAAGTTTCCTGTCTCGAGAAGGAAGGGGAACTTTCGTGATCGTTAGGTTTTACAACGATTTCGATGAACTTCTCTGAATAAGCAATATTTTATTTGAACTACGACCTGTTATTGTTTGGTTTTAAGTGTTTTATTTGTTTTTCTTAGAAGATTTAATTTGATAAGAATAAGATTTCGTGTTTATTTGCAGGGAGGATCTTATAAACGCCATTCACCTTTTTTCCATGCAAGAAACTTTTTTATGTTGAAAGCTAGTTAATATTTTGTCAGCTCAGGGAATTTTAAAAGGACGTCTGTTCTTGATTTGAAAACGAATCGGTGAACACCTTGTGCATGCATTAGCAAGTTGAATATTTCTAATTTAAGCTTGTATGTTTTGGGGAAATCTTCACCAACAGGAAATACATGTTCAAGGAAATGAATTGTTGGTGGAATTGAGGAAGGGGGGAATTTAACAGCTGAATGGACATTTGTACACGCATTTTCATGTGTCTGATGTTGACGCAAACTTTGGACTGCCAAATATTTTTGGGCCTCTGTGACTTAACCTTATTTACCTTAATTCATGGACATTTGGCAATGTTTTCAACGTGTTTCGCGAGAGATAATTATGTTTGGATGGATACCCAGCAAAATCATCATTTTCACTGGATGCGTATAACAGTCCTTCCAGCTACGAACAATGACTTCGGGCCATAGTCTCATGATTTATGCATATTTTATTCGGATTGGTCTCCAATGACTAATCACTTTTATTTGCATTTCCTCTAGCTGGTGCGTGTATATTTAATTTGCCCTGTTGAAACACAGAATGATTGCACTGAAATCTTTCACAGTTTGATACTGTCGTGTTGATTACACGTGTCAATGGTTTAGACTGCAGTACCCATTGTTCTTCTAATAATCAGCCACGCTTGACGAGTGACTCCGAATAAATTTAACGACTGTCGATATAAGGCATAGCATTCGGTATGGATTTTCGTGTATTGGCATTATTCAAGCTAAAAAACCATATGTATAATTAATTTTAGGTTTTAAAGGAAATGTTTGCACATTTCGGAATCATTTTCGGCAAACACTGCGATTACACTAAATTACAAGCAGTGTCATCGCTAACGACCAGTATTCACCATCTTGCTGACGACCCTTCACGTTCAAATTTGAATAAATTGTATTAAATACAAATCATTTAACAGTTTTCATTAACAGCGTCTCATAATATTTTTTCATTAATCATGCTTTTAACATCTTACGGGCTTAAAATTTTGCGGCTTTCACAGATTAAACACATGCTCTCAACAACATGGCTTCATGAGAGTTAATACGAAAACACGACGTGATCAATTAGAAGCTTAAACTATTGCCAGCACGTCGGGTCAGTATATATCAGGCTCTCAGAAAATCATATTGCTGTTTGCAGTAAGCCCCTTGCGTGCTGTGTGCGTAATCTGTGCCGTCTCCACCATGACAAATCTCTCCAGCAACACCACAGCAATATACAGTGAAGTTTCTTCTAGTTCATTGTAACAAACCTATT